CTATGTTGGAAAGGACGAGGACATCTTCACCAGACGGAATACCTCAACCAGCTGTATGTTTATGACAATGGACGATGAGGAGTATCTGAACGACGTTAGAGAATCATATATGGCGGATTCTATGACTGTGGTATTGGAACAGCAAAGTCAGGCAAATTTCTTCACGGACCAGATCAGACAGACGGACGATGCACCCTCAGGCAGCCTTCCTTGGAAACGATCACAGGCAGCGTGGGTTATCGCCGGACCCTGGAAGGAGAACCAGTGTTTCTTGTTCGACTTGTACACGGGCGAAGCGGTGATCTATGCAGCACAGGCGGACGGCAACCTGACGGAGCAGGAGATCTACGAGAATTGGGATCTGGTCGAGGCTGCGGATCGGCACGAACTCACGGCGTTTTGCAATCACACGGTGTTCGCATGCGCGGCGGTCAAGAACCTGGACTCCAAGAATATCATCGACGCGGTTTGGGTTCGCAAGTGGAAGTTCAACCCGAAAACGCAGAAATGGGAAGTAAAATCCAGATTATGTGGGCGCGGCTTCTTGGACTCCCAGAAACACCAGATACAGAGACATTCCAGTACGGCATCAAGGATCAGTCAGAAGCTGGTGGTCAGTATTGCGCAGTGTCACTACTTGACAGACCTTGAGAGCTGGGACATATCCACGGCGTTTCTTCAGGGCCTATCGTTCGACGAGTTGAGGAAGCGCTCGAAGGAGCTAAAGTTATCGTGTACCACGGTCAGGAAGGTCTACCTCAATCCTCCGGCCAACGTGTGGCGACACCTCGCGGATATCAAGGGCAGCTCTGTGGTGGTTCGACCAGTGGATTATGGTCTGTTCTTGTTGGAATTGCTCAAGCCTATGTACGGACTGGTGGACGCACCTCATTTGTGGCAGATCGCTCTCACGTTGTTTCTGGTTTCCCATCTTGAAGCACGTATCAGCCTGTGGGACGACAATTTTGTATACTGGACAGTGAAGGACATAGATATACTTCGACGGCGACATCCTCATAGAGCACAAGAATGTGGAGTTTCAGAGAGCCTACTCATATCCATGACGGACAAGTTGGCGGCGTGTCTCTCAATACATGTGGATGATCTCTTGTCAGAATCGAGACGGCAAATATTGAATTTCTTACGTCAGTTGCTGGAGACTAAATTCGGAGCGGTCAAGCGGCAGCAGTTACCCTTCACTCACAACGGAGCTCAGTACAGCAGGCTGGAGAATGACAGTGTTTTGATTCAGCAGACGCAGAACTTGGCCAATATCAAACCATGTGAAGTACCTCCTCTCGGCGATGATCAATTGGTATCGGCTCAGCACATACACGGATTCAGGAGCATTCTGACTAGTATGCTGTTTTTGTGTCAATGCAATGTACATATCCTGACGGAAGTTACTCAATTGCAAGGTTTCAACAACGAGCCGAAGGTAATGCACCTCAAGCGAGCGAACGCAGTATTGAAGAAAGCGCAGAATGATAATCAACTTCTTGGACTTCACTACCCTCGGCTTCAAGGACCTTTCTGCCTGCGGGCAATTGGCGACGCAAATCATACAACGAAAACGAGTGTGTACCCTCAAGAAGGACAAGCTATTCTTCTCATGAGTGATGTTCCTATGTTGGTTGATCCCAAGACGGACATTATCACGGACAAGAGTTGCCTCAGTGGTTATTGTCACCCGATGGCTATTCTCTCGAACAAGGCGAAGAAGGTGGCTCACTCGACCTCCCTGGGCGAGACCAATTGTGCGCTGAGCGTGGTGAGCAATGCCCA